ACAACATCAATAATCATCAAATTTCTAAATTGGAATTTCAGAGTCACTAAACTAATGATGTACTGTTACTACCGCCAATTGGGAACTAAAACTACTGGTCAAATCTTCTAATTCCCCAGGGGAGTATTTTTTGAGATTATACCGTCTGAGCATTTCCAAAGTTGGACCTATTTTCATCAAAGTAGGGTGGCACACATGGTCATACAGTTAAATTTTCATATGAAACCATGAAAAAAGACAAATATGTCTACATTGAAACTACATGAAACAATTTCATTTTCTTTTGCTTTCTTTTCCCAACATAGCTTGTCAGAAGCAAGTGATAACAACGGTGGAGGACTTGAGAGAAATAGACGTCTAAAATAATTCAACCAACGTTCATGCAAATCAACTTAAAAGCATTAAACTACTTTTCCTAAAATTCCAAGATTTGAGGCACAGATTCCATGCTGAGAAACATTTAAAAACATGATTCAAATTGAAGACTCCATAAGCTCAAAGGAATAGAAAAAATACGAAACAAACAATACAGTTTATAAACTCAAAAGCATAAATGATCAATGAAGTAAAGATTGTAAATATCGGTATTGTCTTTCAAGTAGGTGATGGCACTGACCGTATTCATGGTCCTGATAAAGTAATGGCAGGTGAATTAGTAGGGTACAATGAGCATTGCTTTGGATTTGGAATCAAATCAAACAAAGTGTTTTAGTGATGGGCGTTAGTTTGATGATACAATGAGTTTCAGAATAATTGCTCAAATAGCAGTGAGCCTATATGGGTGGTGTTACAAATGCCCTGGCAAAACGTATTGATTGATGTCATATATGCCCTGGGGCAGAGGTGAAATTGAAAGTTAAAGGGTTGTTTGGTTTAGTTTTTCATACAAGTTTTCTATTTTCTGATAACTGAAAATAATCCAATATTTGTTAGATTGTCAAATTTTGAAATTTATTTTATTATTATTATTATTCATTTTTTCCCTTGATCATCACTTTGGAAGGTGAGAAGTACCATTAAATATTCTATAATCTATTCTTTTGAGTTATTAAGAACTAGCTTGATAAAACTGGACCAAATAGGCTTATTCCATACCAATTCACAACAAATTTCAAATTAAAAAAAAAAAAAAAAAAAAAAAAATTCGAAGTTGTCAAGGGCCTGCTAAAAATAGAAAACTACTTATCCACAACTATAAAAGAATATTATTGGAACACATGCCTTATTATAATTGAATTTTCAAAAAATTCAATTATAATATTTTATACCATTAACTCAAAACAGAAAATTATTTTGGAGTGACAAACCATAGAAGCCACAAGTATTTCCTCAATCTCCTAGAGTGAGAGATGAAGGTTCGAAAAACAATATAGACAAAGAATCTGGATCCCCTCCAGTGGAGGGGATGATGTGCCTTGGTCCTGTGCACCATGATTCAAATTGAAGACTCTATAAGCTCGAAGGAATAGAAAAAATATGAAACAAACAGTACAATTCATAATTCTAAACTTTAACGTTGCCTGGCTCCTGATCTCGTTAGATTTTACTGCTTTCACGCTAATGTTATCACACACTCTGCACTTTCTTCCCCTCCAAATGGTTTAGCGCCCTTAGCCCTAGAAATAGTTTGATGCAGACGTATTGTCACAGGGACGGAAGGCCTACGGGCACGTGCTCTACCTGGCCCACCCATACTCTAATATATGTGGTATTTTTCTAAATTTTTTCTATACATATGAAAAAAATTACCCGTCTCTTTTATAAATTTTTAAAATTATTATTTTATTTTTTCTTTTACTTTTTAAATTCCAAAAAAAAGTTAAATTTTTAGAACAAGATTTTTTTTTACTTCAATTAATAGTTCTTGGTCGCAACAGTAAATTATTGTTCTTGTACAACAGTTAGATTTTCACACAGGGAAGAAGAAGAGAAAAAAGAACAATTTGAAAACATGAAAATATTATCGAATATAGCATTCAATTATATGTTAAGGCATTTACATATTATATTATGTCAGATTAGATTATTGTTAGATTAAATAGACCATAACCCAAATTCAATTTGTTAATCGACAAATTCTTGGTTTTGAATCATTAATAATTATTGGATTAATTATTTCAAACTTATTCAATTAGGTCTAAATTAAAGTCAAATCAAAGTCTAATACTGATTAAGGTTAAATTTTCGCAGAGGTTATCCGCTACTAATGTTGCCTTTCCACTCCCAAATCTTGTACTAACGAATGTAAGATATAAAGTTGGACAAAGCATTCCACAAAAGTAGAAGAAGGGCAGTGCTAATGACTTTTCACACACACCTGTGCAGCTTGGGCGGGTCAATTCAAATCCAATTGAACCCAGTTTGTTGGTTTCAGGTTGAGACTCAAGCACTCGGTCCACATATGTTAGGGTGCCTTTTCCGGTGGCAACGAGCCTATTAACATTAATTTAATTTAAATTATCTAATTAAAAATAAAATAACTATTTGGATTGAACTAATCCACCACATGTCAAATGAACTAAAATCAGCTAATAATTTTTCCAATATTGTACAATTATTGAAAGATTTTGTCATTTCATTTCTTTTATTCTTAAAATAGTGATACTTGCACTAATTTACTATAGCCAATTATCTAATTGAAAATTTTTTATTGATTATTTATGCACAATACAAGCAAGTGAAGGACCTACTTTTTTATTTGTCATATACATGGACCAATTAAAATACGTAGGTTTAATAATTCACCGATTTGTAGTGAATTACTGTGAAAGTTTCTGATGGGTTAGTGAAGGACCCCATTTTCTTATTTGTTGCATAAATGAACCAATTAAAATAAATAAGTGTAACAATTCATTGCAATAATCATTTTCCTTTCTTATATACATATTTTGAAAATTAAAGTTCTCAAACCTTTTCTCATGTATCACTATTTTTGGCATTTTTTTCTTTTTCAATTGATAGTAAACCAAGATATTTAAAGAAAGATTTATTATTATTATAACCCTTCTTATTTTCATGGGAAATGATTCTTGTGGCGAATGATTGCAGTGAATTGCTAAATTTATTATTTTAATTGATTAATTATGTAACAAATAAGAAAATAGAGCCCTCCAGTTAATTGAATTTTGTATAAATAACTAATTAAAAATTATTAAGTGTTCAGTGTGAGTATCATACTCTATTTTCATATGTTGTTTGTCTTATGTGAAATTTCCTTTAAGATTATTTTTACTTTTTTTGTCGCAATAGTAAGTTATTTTTCTTTTAAAACAATTAGATTTTCATATAAGGAAGAATTGAGGAAAAACAAATGAGGAAAGAACATGTTATCATAGCACTAAATCATGTTAGGGTAGTGCAAAAAAATTTCCATCTAGGTTAAAAAAATAAATAAATAAATAAAATAAAATAAAAATGTCCCACTTAAAATCTCCAATACTATTACCTCCTTTATGATTTTGCCAATACTACCCTCACTGTTATTATACTTATTTTCACTTTGTTGATTTTCACCAACCCACCTTTATTCAAAAAGAGGAAATTGGTTTTTTGACAGAAATTTTGGGGAAAGTAGGAAGTTGAGCTTTTATGTAGAGAATGGAAATATACATTTGGGGAATAAAGTGAGCTGAAGACTATTGCACAACCGCCGGAATTCGAAGATGGGTTGGATCGGTAATCGCCCAAAGGAGTGATGGAGATGTTGGTGGAGAAAGAGGCGGGTTGCAGTGGAGGTTGTGGTGGAGAGGGTGGTTCTGAAAGGCCATTAACCTAAATTTTCTAATTTCTTTTTCTTGACAGAGATTTAAGGCTGGCTGGGGAAGGAGTTGGTGGTGGAGGAAAAAGATATAAGAGAGAGAGAGTAGATAGGTGATAGTCGGTGAGGGAGTTGGTGGTGAAGGAGATTTGAGGCGGCGGTGGTGGGGCTGAATAGGTGGCAAAGGAGAGAGGTGGTGACGACGGCAGAGGAGAGGGGGTGGTTGCAGAGGAGTTGTTGGTACGTTCGTGTCGGTTTCGAGGGTATATGAGGTGCGTTCGACGGTGACGTCGTCGTCATGAGCAGCGGCGGGGAAGCCTTGGTAATCGGCCGGAGTGATAGACTACATATATTTCTTAATATATATATAATCTTTACAATATTTAATATGAATGAAAAAGTAAACCTTTTAATTGAAGGGCATTTTTGGTATTTTGAAAATGTTGTCTAAAAAGTTGGGGTTGACTGTAATTTTAACATACCTCAAGGGAGGTTGATTCAATTTTTCTCATCAAAGTGTAACAAGTCCAAACCTCATTTCCACATAGTTTATCCTAAGTAAAAATACAGGTCATATAAAATGACTATTTTGTCGAAAAGTTTAAAAAGGAAGGGTGCATTGTGTATAAACCTATGTTATAAGAAGGTTTTCTGCATTTAACTCATCATATTATATTATGTTGGATAAGACTATTATTAGATCAAATTGATCATTAAACCATGCCCAATTTGTTAATTTAATAACAATTATAGATCATTTTCTTCGTGTACGACGAGAACACCTGGATTATAAAAGAAGTAATGGAAGAGATACAATCCCTATGAGCACTTGGATTGTATTTAATAATATTGTGCATACAAACGAGGAGAAAATATCGACTTTAAAACTGTTCAACACATTTTATCTCATCTATTTTATTTTATTGTATATGATTATAATCAATTAATATTAATTTCTTTCGAGGGTTCGTGTTGTAAATATTTTGTTCTATGTTAATTGGATCTTTGAATTCATATTCTCAATATATGTTTTTGAACATGTCAATTTATAACAGGTATTATTATATTGTACTAATCAATATATAAAAAGTCTTTTTCATACAATGAAGAGAAGATATTTTGTATGCCCCTGCACCAGCCATATCAGAGCTGTCCATGCACAACATGCTCAAAAACGGACGGCTCTCATATTCTCAACATGCTCGTTTTTTTATCCTTGTCACCATTCTTATTCTTGTTTGTGATGGAGGCCCTTAGTAGATTGATGAGAAGGGCTATTGAATTAGGTCTTTTGAGGGGCTTTTGGGTTGGCAGGGATGCTGTTTTTCAGTTGGAGATCTCTCATTTGATGTTTGCTGATGACACTTTAGTTCTTTGTTATGTGAATATGTCCCAGATTAGATATCTGAGATGTGTTTTGATTTGGTTCCAAGTTGTCTCCGGCCTCAAGATGAATGTGGGTAAGAGTGTTTTGGTGCCGGTTAGGGAGGTCCCTGAGATTGAGACTTTTGCTGACATTCTTAGTTGTCGTACTGGTTCATTTCCCATTTCTTACTTAGGTTTGCCTCTGGGTGCTCCTTCGAGGTGTGTGGGGATTTGGGACCCAGTGGTGGATAGATTTGAGAGAAGGTTGGCTGGTTGGAAGAAGTAGTATCTTTCCAAGAGCAGCAGGGTCACTCTGATTAAGAGCACCCTCTCTTACCTTCTCACTTATTTTATCTCTCTTTTTCAAATTCCCTCTTCAGTTGCGGAGAGTTGCAGCGTAATTTTCTGTGAGGTGGTAGAGGTGAAGAGTTTAAGTTTCATTTGGTGTGATGGGATCAAGTTTGTAGGCCAATTCGGAATGGTGGGTTGGGTCTCTGTAGATTGGTGCCTTTTAATAAGGCCCTCTTTAGGAAATGGTTGTGGAGGTTTGGTGTGAAGAGACATTCGCTTTGGAGGAAGGTTGTGGCTTGTCGTTTTGGGAAGATGAGATGAGGGTGGTGTTCATTGGAAGTTAGAGATCCTCGGGGAGTGGGGGTGTGGAAATTTATTCGGAAGGGTTGGGATGAATTTTCCAAGCACATTCGGTTTTGTCTTAGAGATGGGAGGAGGATTTGTTTTGGGGAGGATGTGTGGTGTGGAGATGTTCCTCTCGCTCTCGCTTTTCCTCAGCTTTACAAGATTGCTTCAGATAGGCAGGCTATGGTGGTTAACTGTTATTATCTTGATAATAGGAGACTTATTTGGGATGTTCGATTCAGGCGTTTCTTTCAGGATTGGGAGATCGAGAAGGCCATTCGTTTCTTGGAGTTGTTGTATCGCCAAAGGATTATGGAGGAGGATTCGGATTGTTGGTCTTGGGTTGCAAACTCCCAGGGGCGTTTTGAGATGAGGTCTTTCTTCAGGTGTCTCTCATTTGATCATAGAGTTCGTTTTCCTTGGAAGTCTGTTTGGCGTTCTAAGGCTCTTCTCAAGGTGGCTTTCTTTGTGTGGACTTTGGTTCTGGGTAGGATCTTAACCCATGATAATTTAAGAATGAGGAGCCAGGTAGTGTTCAATCGTTGTTATATGTGTCTTCGGGATGAGGAATCAATGGATCACCTTCTCATTCATTGCTCTTTGGCTAGATAGTGTTGGGATTTGATGCTTGGCTTATTTAGGTTTTCTTGGGCTATGCCAGGATCCGCTAGTGGGTTGATTGAGGCGTGGAGAGGTTGCCCTGTGAGGGGCTCATAGTCAGGATGCGTGGAGGGCTACGCCGCTTTGTGTGTGGTGGTGTATTTAGCTTGAAAGGAATAGGAGATATTTTGAAGGAAAAACATCAATTTCGGGGCTTAAATTCTCTATTCTTTCCACTCTTTTTTGTTGGGTTTCAGAGAGAGATCATAAATCATTAGAGGAGATTGTTGACTTTTTGGCCTCCTTGAAGGCTTGTTGACTTTGTGGTCTTTTGTACTTTCTTGGGATCTGCTCTCCTTATGAACGTTTTTAATAAAATTTTATTTATCAGAAAAAAAAAAAAAAAAAAAAAATGGTATACCACAGCGCTAGAGACTCCCGCTAAGGGTCAGACGTAAAAAATGCAAAAGAAGGTACCTTGAGTTAAATCAGAGCAGATTACATAATAGGGAAGCAAAAGAATACATAAATATCAGTCAAGACTCGTAAAGGGAAAGAAAAATTAGATTCAAGTAGGTAAATGTAACACAAAAGCTTGTTGAAATGACTGAGTTTTCCAGACTAAAGACATTAGAGCTTGGAGGACACTATATTACAGTAACAAGGTAACTGAATTTTCTAGCAATAGAAAGCACCATCATTATTCACCTACAGAGCATCAGATTAATAACCCCGGTTACCATGATGACAAACGGCATGTAAACTCTCCAAGGTTTGAACAGCTTCCTTCATTGATGGACGTACGCCCAAGTCTCGCACACTGCGCATTGCCAGGTCAGTAATTTTTGCCAGGTCAGTAATTTTATATCCATCGTGTTGACTGAGCCCCAAATCTTCTTCAAAGCTTTTGTGCACGAGAGAGAACTTCTTCAAGAGGGCAGCCAAATAATGATTTCTTCGGCTTGCTCCAAATGCATTCTGCTTTAGCCCAATAGTGTATAGGGTCTTTTGGATATGAGCTCCAAAAGCACAGAGCCAAACGAGAAGATGTCCTGTACCATCTCCCATTCACCTGTTGAAGGATTTTTATTAAATAAAAAAAAATTAATCACACAACTAAAAAGATGCCCAAAGACGGAGCTAGTAGAAGCAAAAAAAAAAAAACAAAGCAACTAGAACATACATCTACCAAATTCTTCTTATATTTCTGTTTATCTTTTTTCTTTTTTTCATTTGGTGGGCACAACTAATTACTAATTCCATTAAACAGAATTTGCAAAATTTCAACGCGAAGATATGCGTGAGATACTTATTCTTGAAGACTGTCTCAAGAGTGGCTTTGCTCCGTAGAAATTATAATAAATAAATAAATGAATGGCTAGAATCACCCAATCAATGTAGTTTTTCATGCAAAAGATACAATCATACGATAAGAATACCATTTGAAGATTCTCATCTTTCTAGAAACTAAAATCAATTCATTCAAGATATATACCATCTAGCAAGAATGGAGTTGACACTGACACTGACAATAACAATAATAACAATGATATCAACAACAACAATAAACATATAAAAGAATGATCACTTCATAGAAAGAGATACATTCCTTATTCTTTACTGAAAAAAAAATATTCAATTCTCATGTTCATACCAAATAGCAAGGGTTCTAAGTTACTTTAGCTGCTGTTTGATAAGTAACAAAAATTAGGAATCTATTTGTTGGCTTACCCACTTTAAGATTTTATTGCGTTCATTCAATCTGTCGGAGTCATCAATATACTCACTAACAGACTGAGACTGCTGCGAGCAATTTTGGAACCGGTGATGTGGGATTTGTTCATCATCTGGTGGAAGAAATCTAGCCAACAATAATTTCTTCATCTTGTGCCATGTTCGGACATGTTTTCCCTGTCTCCTATGGTTGCTTTGTGTCTGCTCCCAAGTAGAAGCACCTCTCTTAAGCTTGAATGCTACAAGCGAAACCTGCTTTTCTTCAGGTACGTCAAAATACTTAAAGAACTGTTCAACCTGATTCAAACAGTCCAAGATATCCTCAACATAAAGATTTCCATTAAAACTGAGTAGATTAAGTTTCATTTGAAATTCATGATTATCCGGACATCTACGGTTGTCGCGCCTACATCGATCACGTAGCCCCATCGCAACTCCTTTGACTCTGAATTCTTTGTCATTGGAATAATCCGCATAGGCTGGAGGCCTACGTGGATTTACAGGACCATAACCAATACTTGACCGCAAGGAAAATCTCCAGCACGAACCCGAACAGAATTACGAACCTGGTTGCCACCACTCTCAAGACTAGCGATTTGTCTAAATCATTGTTCTTGAGTATGCATGGCTGCCCAAGGGGCTTGCACTCTGCGAACTTCGTCAACAAAGTGGTTGCTACCGAAACAATCATTTAACATCAGACCAAGGTAACTCAAGGCTGTGATACCAACTGAAGTAGCGGAAGCTTTAAAGATAGATATAATCCTCACAAAGGGAATACAGATATTTGCAGAACAAATGTTCAAAGAATACATAACTGATCTGATGTTTATTTCATTTGATAAGTGCCCCTTTGCCCTTCAAGTACACACATATTTATAGGTGAAGTTACAGGAATCAACAACTCCACAGATTATTCCACTAACCACTCCAATCATCACTTGCATACTTTATAGATAAATATTACACTCCACTAATCACACTTGCATACTTTATATATAAATATTACACTCCATTGACCACTCACTACACTTATTACATTTATATACTATATCTTTACACACACACCTAACTTCCAGTTATATATGTATTATATAAAACACATATTTTAGTTTCCACTTCTATTCATGCCCCACTGAAGTGTTCCATCACTGTTTTGACTTTCTTGCCATTCTTGTCCTACATCAAAATTTTATTCAAGTATTTTTCAGAAGGGACCGTTCTAGCTCTGTTAGATTTGAAGATCCTCTCATCTATAAGTTATATAGTACAAGTGGTCCTAAGAACTATTTGATACTTCATTAGAGGTAAAATAATCTTTACAGATTTATTGTATATGATCTCCAATATGTGGTTATGCTTTCGATACATTCATTGGATAAGTCAACCGATGAATTTGTTGATTATTGAAACGAAGTCTCTATTGTGTGGATTCAAACTGAATTGGAGCATGTCATTGACATCCTGACACAAATCAAGCACTAACCTGATAAATAAACGTGTAGGGCTAAGGTTTACATCCAAAAAATTTAAGTTTAAGATCAATGAAAATATATAAATATGGTAACAATATGGATCTCCTTGAAGTTAGAAACAAATGGAAACAACCCAATCCAGTTCATGAAAGAAAAACAGGGGGAGGGGGAGAATATGCTTTTCACCAAATAAATGAACGCATATGATCTGATTTAGAATCTCAAACTTTATGGAAGCATGAAATTGAGATGAAAATGACAAGATCAAAGAATATTCTTGTATGCAACAAGTAAGTTGCACCCAGAATGAAGAAGACCATCTTTTATTAGAGCAAAAATCACAACCACCATCTCTCTCTCAACCAAGGGGCACTCTCTCTTCTTCTTGTTTAACATCATCAATAATTTTTCCTTTTTTTCCACCTCTCTTCCACAAGCAACAACAAATGACCTTTCATAGCCAAAATGAATTCAAATTAATTACTTATTTTAGGATTTAACAATTCCTTTGCACCATCGATTTACTTCAATCTTCACCATTATGATTCATACCACATGTATGCAACAAGGGAGGTTTTGATACTATGTCATATGATTCATAAAGCGAACCACGTAACAATAGTATGATATTAGGATTACGGTTTTTTGCACACAAGTTTCCTCCCACAATAAGCACCATGGATTCCCAAAAAAAGAGAGGTCAAGGATGCTTTTATGAGTAATCATAATGATTTACTCATCTGTTTGGGTTGATATTTTCACTTGACATTCCCCGTTTGCCCACAATTTATATAGCATTATATACCAGTTGGGAAAACAGAAAAAAAAACACTCACAATTAAGAAGTGCACTGGTGACCTAGGGCCTAGGCAATGAACTCTAGGCTTGGAATAGATTATAAATACAACATTAAGTTGACATACCGAAATTCATAATGATGGGATCACCATAGCCTAGCGCTCCAAGCACGAACTTATTTGCGATTGGTTGCTCATCACCAAAAACCCCACCAGCTAGCATACCAAAATCGAATAGTACTGGATTGTAATCCTGAGTTTAAGCATAACATAATACCATGTTTAATTCTTATTAAAAAATTCTCCAGAACAAAATTACTGAAAAGCTAAGTGCACTAAGTACATGGACTCCCATATCTAACCTGATCAACCATTATATGTGCAGGACTAATATCGCGAACTAGGTATTGCGGTTTATGATGATAATGCAAAAACTCGAGCAGACGTGCAATATCAATTGCCACCTTGATTCTGTGGAGCCAGGAAAAGCCATCTGCGTTCACCCAAAAAAACAAAACTCTTTTAGTAAATAGCATACTAATCAATTTTAAAGAAGTGTATCTTAATTATCAACCATATCCCTGCATGTGATGGCAGCTACACTCGATACTAAATGCGGTACGTCCAAAACAAGACAGAATTTAAATTACTCAAAGAAAAATATTTTCTTAGTCAAAGAAGAAAATAATTTACACAGAGAGAGAGAGAGAGAGAGATTATCCAACAAGGGGAAAACTAAACAATGATTTACTAAAATAATTAGTTTAGGAGCAGATTTAAGATTCAGTATAGCAAGCCAAAGTGGTAAATGTTATCACCAAACACTAATATGGAAAATCAGTTGGTCTTGTAATTATATTTGTCAATTTGTATGATTCATATTCCCTCTCTATCCCCAACATAAACTGAAAACATGACGTGCATGCTCAACAGATTGATGTATGATTAGAAAAGTCAAGTTGTAACAGATTAATCGAAGAAAGAAAATATGTAATACCTTTATCAATGAGGTTGTGCACTGTGTCCATGAGATTAAGGTCATAAACAACACCCAATAGACTATCTTCGCAGCAATATCCCAAAAGTTTAACCAGACTCGGATGATGGTTTACCCTCGACTCCATTAGAAAAATGCATTCTTTCTGGGAAAATTGAAACACAACATTCAATAATGACAGTAACAACATCTATAACCATCAAATTTCAAAATTGAAATTTCACAAACACTAAACTAATGAAGTACTGTTTCTACCGCCAATTGGGAACGGTGTTCATCCTGGCCTATAGGAAAGTATCCTAAATCTTCATCCTGACCTTGCTGAGTCTTTCCTCGATACACTTTGCCGAATTGGGTATCTCCAATCAAGTTTGCTTCACTAAAATTACGGGTCAAATCTTCTAATTCCCCGGGGGAGTATTTTCTGAGATTATACTCTCTGAGCATTTCCATAGTTGGACCTATTTCATTAAAGTATGGTGGCACACATGGTCAGTACCAATATATACAGTTAAATTTTCATATGAAACCATGAAAAAAGACAAATATGTCCTACATTGAAACTACATGAAACAATTTTATTTTCCGTTGCTTTCTTTTCCAAACATAGGTTGGGAGAAGCAAGTGATAACACTGATAGAGGACTTGAGAGAAATAGACGTCTAAAATAATTCAACCAACGTTCATGCAAATCAACTTAAAAGCATTAAACATTTCCTAAAAATTCCAAGATTTGAGGCATAGATTCCATGCCTAGAAACATTTAAAAACATGATTCAAATTGAAGACTCCATAAGCTCAAAGGAATAGAAAAAAATACGAAACAAACAATACAGTTTATAAACTCAAAAGCATAAATGATCAATGAAGTAAAGATTGTAAATACCGGTATTGTCTTTCAAATAGGTGATGGCACTGACCATATTCATGGTCCTGATAAAGTAATGGCAGATGAATTAGTAGGGTACAGTGAGCATTGCTTTGAATTTGGAATCAAATCAAACAAAGTGTTGTAGTGTTAGTTTGATGATATAATGAGTTTCAGAATAATTGCTCAAATACCAGTGAGCCTATATGGGTGGTGTTACAAATGCCCTGGGAAAACGTATTGATTGATGTCATATATGCCCTGATGGGGTGGAGGTGATATTGAAAGTTAAAGGCTTGTTTGGTTTAGTTTTTCATACAAGTTTTCTATTTTCTGATAACTGAAAATAATCCAAAATTTTGTTTGATTGTCAAATTTTGAAATTTACTTTATTATTATTATTCATTTTTTCCCTCTAAGACTTGTACCTGATCATCACTTTCGAAAGTGAGGAAGTACCATTAAATAGTCTCTAATCTATTTTTTTTAGTTATTGAGAACTAGCTTGAGAAAACAGAACAAATAGGCTTACGTAAGCGATCCATACCAATTCACAACAAAGTTCAAATAATAATAATAATAAAAAAAAAAAAAACATAAAACTTTAAAATGGAAAATTCGAAGTTATCATGGGCATTTGTCACTCATAAAACAATTCTCAATAACTCAAAAAAATAGAAAACTAATTATCGAACGCTGAACACATGCCTTATTATAATTGAATTTTTAAAAAATAGTTTTAAAAAAACTAAACTAAGCAGGGTTTTTGTACCATTAAGTCGAAACAGAAAACTATTTTCCGAATGACAAACCAAGCAAGCCCCAAGTATTTCCTCAATCTCATAGAGTGAGAGTTTAAGGTTCGAAAATCAATATAGACAAACAATCCGGATCCCCTCCAGTGGAGGGGATGATGTGCCTTGGTCTTGTGCACCATGATTCAAATTGAAGACTCTATAAGCTCGAAGGAATAGAAAAAAATATGAAACAAACAATACAGTTCATAAACAAGGCATAAGAAAGACAATTCAGAAGCATAAATGTTGATGTATATAAAAGTTAAATCAATCTCCAGAAGTCTATACAAATATTCAAATTTAGTTTAGATATTGTTAAGAAATGAAAATCATACAAAACAATCGTAACGATTCATCATACTGCAGCAAGAAATAAAAATATGTTCATGTCAGTTAATAATCAATAAATTTGCAAGACAAAGATGATGCCAATAAATAAAATCAAATCGTGTTTGGTTATAGGCATACCCGTTCCTAGAGAAGAAAGCTCGACTTCCTTGTGTGCTTAATATACCTCAGCAATTTATAAATAGAAGATAAGAAAACCAATTAAGAATAAAATTAAAAGGAGAGAACTGAAGAAACAAATTCAATTACTCATGTAACTTTCCAGAAAAATCAATTCAATGTAAAAACTATATAATCCCATAGTAAAGAAATATCAAACCCATTACTCTATTTGCACGTACACTACCATTATAGAAAAAGAAAGATTGCGTAAAACCCAAAAACTTATAAAGAGAGCATTAATCAAACCCATAACCTTACATATACAGTAAAATCTATATATAACCATAGTAAATAAAAATCAAACCCATATTAATCATTGCATACAGAATTATAAATAAACCAAAAATAGACTTTAACAATGATAAAAACAGAGACTCTGCAAGGACACAATGCTAAAAAAACAATCTTGAAAACTTCGCAATTGATTGATAGGCAAGAAACAAAAGCCAAGCAAGACTGAAATTATTATAAATAAACAAATAAAGGGAAACAAAATTAACCGAAACTCAAAAGACTCGAACTCCAAAATAAAAAAAAAAATAAAAAAAGAAGAAAAAAACGCAACCCATTGAAATAAAAACAGAGAGGGCTCTATTTTCATTGGGGAGGTGCGGAGAAAGAAACTCTATTCTTGCCTCCATGGACAACGACCAACATAAGAGAAGTTCTTTCATTTTGGAAAGCAATATGGACGTATATTTACGGATGGAAACTCAAAAAAACTTAAATAAGGCGACATTACTTCAACTTTTTGATTAGCGACAAGCTTTTGGGTGATCATCCAAAAAACGTATATTTTAAAAGAAAAACATATTTAACGATTTTCTTAAGTATTTTAAAGAAAAAGATATTGAGAGAGTATGAGTGCCGGTATTGAAAATAAAAAGAATAAGGAGGAGGAGGAGGAGGAGTTGCACCAGTATACTTTGCTCTGCTGCTATATCACCCCTAACCTTGGGGGATTTGCTCTGCTGCTATGCTTTGATGTGTAATAACTTATATTTTAAGGTTAATTACAATGACACTTCATAAAATTTGTCTTAATTACAGTCATATACAATTTAATCCCTTTTTAAATAATGAAACCCTTCAGATTTCATAAACTTAATAAAGTTAACAAGACACTCTGCCGGCTCTGACACAAATTAAAATGACGTTATTACCCTTCGACTTTTGAATTACTCGAATTTTTTAATTAAAACAAAAATTTTAGGACAAAAATACCCTCATCTTCCCCATCTCTCTCTACCCACCAAGTCTAAAATCAATCTCCAATCAGTCCCTTTACAACTTCCATCGAATTTGAATTTACCTTCATTGATTCAAGACTCATCATTTCAGATGCTAAATTCACCGGAACTAGTGACTTACATTCACTCACTCTAAGCAATTAATCCATATCAAACGATTAGTTAATAAAGCCTAAACTCTATCCTTTCAACGAGATACCCATATACTTCTGCAACTCTCTCTCTCTCGGGCTCCAGCAACGATGACGATGCTCTGGCAACATTGACTAGCAGTGGTGTTGGCATGATGGTGAAGCGATTCTGACGTCGACAAGATCTTGTTCGGCGACTAGCAGCGACGACGACATTGTGGTGACGCAATTCCAACGTAGACAAGGCAACGAGATCCTGGCGACACACAACAGACATGGTGGTGAGAATCCTATGATGGCGACGATCAAGGAAGATTCTCCCATTCTCTTTTTTGCATTTTCTTGCTTTAGACCTTATGCTAAATGCTCTCCACACATAAATTATACCTATATGATCACATGTTTATCTCTCTATAAACCCACTTCGGCTTTCACCTCTCTAGAACCCCAACCATTACCCCCATTATAAACACAAGATTCGCATAACAAGTAACAATTGAATCCAAAATTGCCGAAACGGGCTTATCGCTTTCCATCATTCGATCAATAACTCAATTTGTATTAGTAAATAAATACAAATTGTAGAGTAAAATCGCAAGAATTGAGGGATACCCATTTAGTAACGAGACCAATCGAAGAAACCCATGAGGCATTTGGGGTCACACACCTGGTTTTGGTGAAGAACATACCAAACCAAACTTGGGTTTAACTTGCTAGGCAGCTTTGTTGATTCTAAGAGGAATTCCTAATTGTCGTGCTTGAGAATTCCCCAACTGCTACTTCATTCTCATTGGAGTTCTCTGAGCTGTGGAACGATTTCGCAAAAACATGCCTTGGTCTTGAGAAAATGCTTCCAACGAGATGACAGGAGAGGTTCATCGAGAGCTCGAGGAGACCACCTATGCGGGCAATCGGGATGATCATTTTCATCATATCAACGGCCATGATCTCTTCAACACCAAAGCCATGATCACCTTGGCCAAGACGTCAAGATCATCGCTGCCAATTTGATCGTCGACAATGGTCGATGGTGCTGGTCGTCGTCGTCAGTCAGTCGGATTTCGAGAGGGTTTGTCATGATCTAAGGGTTAGGGTATAGAGAGATTCTGTCGGTTGAAAATAAGGCTAGGGTTACATAACAGAGGTTAGAGAGTGGTGATGGAGGAGTTGAAAGGTTAGAGAGAGAAACGACAGAGAGAGTTGTGGTGGTTGGGTTTTCTAGGATGGGCATTTTAGTCATTTTTCATTCTAATATTTTTTCATCATATATTAATTAAATATTGAAGAGTAATGTAGACATTTCACTGCCAAAATTTAATATAAAACTAATAGTGTCATTCTTCAAAAAGAAGATAACTTATAAATTGGACTGTAATTAAGACAAATCTTAAGAGGTATTACTGTAATTAATTATATATTTTAATAATGATAACTATGTATTTTTAATTAATAATTTATTTTATTAAAATATTTATTTATTTTTAATGATGAATTATAAATTTATTTTTAGTGATGATTTGAAAATACTAAAGTACAGACTATATGTCATTGTCTTTCGTCACTGAATTTCAGAATCAAAGTCTTCTTCTCCTTTCTTTAATTCTATTTCTATTGGAAAAAATAATAATAAATAATAAATAAATAATTCTATTTCTATTGAATTCCCGAAGCAAAGTCTGAACAAAAAAACCATCTCGGCCCAAGCTTTAAAATCACCGGCCCAGTTCAGACACAGACAATTTGGACCAATTTTTTTAATTGAACCAATTCCATATATAGATATAAGAAATGTACAAGTGGGCAAAACCCAAACAAAACCCCAACAAACAAGGCCCAAGCACCATTCTTGCCCTAAACACAGAACTGTAAAACCCTTTTCCCAAAATTCCGTCGGCGTTGCTTCATTTCTCTTTCTCCGGCGAACGGCATCGAGAGACTGTTCCTCACAAACATCTGAACGAGATTTGTAAGTATTTCCGCTGATTTGTGTGTGTATTGTTAACTTTCAAATCGATTTTTAAAGCATGATTTCCAAAATCATTTTGAATAAACATGAATTATTGGTAGAGACTCCTTGTGCGTAGCTTCTCGATAGCAAAGTGGTGAAATAGATGAGCAGAAGTGACTGCGCGTAAGAGAGAGAGAGAGGAGGATTGTTGAAACTGCGACGTGCTCTATTTTTCTTTAGTATTATTATTATTTTTATTTATTTCTCTCTCTCTCTCTCTATTTTATTTAGTTATTATTTATTTAATTCAATCTGTAATAATTCCAAAATTGATCTCTATTTTATTGCTTCTTTTTGAATTAGGTTTCCTTCATTAATATCAATTTTTATTTTACAGGAAATGGTTCATTATAGATTTTCCGAGGAAGATGTGAAGAACTTCAGTGATTATCTACCAGCAAGTAAACTAGGGGAGGGAGCGTTTGGTTCAGTTTATAAGGGAAGGATGGTTATACAGGGACTGGAGCAACGTGATATAGCCATTAAAGTCTCTAATGCGCCGACTAGCACTGAACAATGGGACTCTCTATGGGCACAATGGCGGGTTTGCTACCTCGGTCCTTGATAACCATAGAATGAATATGTATCTTTTCCCCAATATAATTTACTTATCTAATTCAGAAACCTTATTTGCTCTCATTCTATAACATTGAATGAATCACACACACCACCTTATTTCTTATTTGTGATAACACAATCTGATTCTATTACCAGATTGGTTTAATAAGTAAATCATTACTGTGGCCCATGTTTATCCTCCTTGAAAACCCCCATCTAATCCCTTGTTTAATAATCTCCGTGCTACTTTTGCTAGCGCGCACACTCTCCTCCATGCCACATAGAGCTTTTCTTTGGAGCTGCAAGAAGAAGAAATAAATAAATAAAATAAAATAAAATGAGAATGAAAAATATTTATGCTTTAAACTGTCTTCCTTTTTTTCTTTTTCTTTTTTCTATTTTTTTTTTTTTTAATTGGTACTAGAACCAAAAAATAAATAAAATGAGAATGAAAAATATTTATCCTTTAAACTGTCTTCCTTTTTTTATTGGTACTAAAAACCTTGACCTCCCTTTGAAGCCACTGGCCCATTGGTGTTTTAAACTGTCTTCCCCAATCCTCAATCTCCAACCCTGTTTGGCAAGGAGAGAGCACTTATCTAATTTAGCATTGGATATCTGATTACGCATCCCTCCCCTTACAAAAATGGAAGGAAGTATCAATTTCCAATAACAAACACACCAAACATAACATATCTGATAAATCTAATGACAAAAAGTGTTGCACTACCCACACTACAGAAATGGCAGTGTCTCTAAATCCATTATGAAAAGCAGAGTTTCTTTCAACCCAAATTATCCAAAGAAAAACAGAGAAGAGGCACTTTTGCATCTTGGATTTGTGGTTCTGTCCTGTAGAGTTCTGCAAAAACCATTTCACAAGCTGATTGATGGTATTGAAAGACGTCTCTGGCAGATTCATTATGAAAGAATTACCATTACCCAGATTGTATGTGACATTGCCCTTTAAGAACTCTCTGACTTCCATAACTTTGCTTCCAAACCACGAAATCTTGAGGTTTAGGTAGAACAGACCAGAAATTAGCATTGTCCAAATACCTGGCATGGAACCATTTCACCCATTGTGCAAATCTTGAGGTTTATTTACTTATCTTTTGTTTGTTTCAAAATTTTTAATATTATTTTTTTATTTCAGGCCGAAACCAATTGGCTTATTACACTCCAGCACCCCAACATCATCGAGCTCATAGGGTCTTGTGCAAACAGAAGGGAAAGGAAGCTCTATCTGGTCTACGAATACATGGCTGGTGGCACTCTAAAACAGCACCAGTCAGGTAATAATAGAATACATTCTGAGTTGAGCAATAGCATATTACATTTGAAGAGGGGTTGCTGCTCATAATTATTGTACTGTGTTTAAATTTGTCTGCAGGGTTAGACTGGCCGGGGATCCTCAAGGTCCTCAGAGGAATAGCCAGTGCTCTGCGATACATCCACAACTACTCCCCTAGTGTGGTCAATGGAGACTTCCCTGGGCTGGTCTATGGAGACTTAAAACCAGAAAATATTTTACTGGGACAGGTGAGGAATAAAAAAATTCTCGTTTCAATGATGGCATCTCCCTCTTTAACTCTTTCAAATTTTACCCCTACACAGCAGTTGTTGTTGTTGTTACCGTTGGAATTCATAATTTGTTAGGATCCTCACAAACATAGATGCCCCACAAAATAGCAATCAGAAATTCTTCCAAGGAAGTGTTTCTCATTTAGCTTCTTTTATAAAGATTGAAACTTATATGAATTGAGTGAGTTTTAAAATGGACATAATCAATTTAATATACTGCTGAAGTCTGAATTTTATGATCAGAAATTCTTCCAAGGAAGTGTTTCTCCTTTAGCTTCTTTTATAAAGATTGAAACATATATGAATTGAGTGAGTTTTAAAATGGACATAATCGATTTAATATACTGCTGAAGTCTGAATTTTATGTTTGCTCCTGGTTCTTCTGACACCCTTATTTCAATGACCAGGATGGCGAGCCAAAGATTTCTGATTTTGGTACTCTAACGACGGTGCAAGAGACGCTGCGGGCATATACCGTTGGATATATAGCTCCTTCTGCTCAACCATCAGGTAAATATATATTCACTTCTAGCTTCAGTGTAGTGTGCAACATATATTCATTTTTTTCAAGATTCTTGACAAAATCTATGATTCTTTTAACAAACTGAGAAGTGACAATGGCGACAGTAGTTGTTCGTTATCCTTACATAGTCATTGCTACTACATCATTGAAACTGGTTTTGGTAGATTGATTATTCTAGTTTGTTTTGCTAAAAAGGAATGTTGCTAATATGAAACTAAGATAATCATGTGTTGTGTGCGCGGGGGTGTGTGTGAGAGAGAGAAAGCATAGGGAGGCTTGCAAATTTGCAAAGCTGATGTGAGGCCTCCTGAGCAACATTGTTAAACTTGCTTAGAGTGGGTGCATGTGTGTGTGCAAGGATTCAATATTGAACTTACAAATATGCCCACATCATACATCTGAAAAGATATTTCTATATCTTTTAGGGGGTATGTTTTTGGCTTTTTTTTGGGTCAATTATAAGACTTAAATTATCTTTTATCTTCTTTTTTTGCCTTCCAAGTTTCAAGTAATAATATATCTACTGCTCCATATTTCCTTTTTCGAACTAACAATTGTTTTTCTTCCTATTTTTGTTGGCAGGCTATGAAGCAAAGAAAGAATATGATGTTTACAGTTTTGGAGTAGTAATACTCCAGTTGATAATGAAAAGAGATGACGTTCTAAGGATCCGAAGAGAGGGAGAATCCCTCTCAATAAAAAATTTAGTGATACCGCATTGGGCAGAAGAAGAGGTTCACAAGAAAGGGCATGCCGTCAACCAACAAATTATCAAAACAGGGTGCAGTATAAGTGACGCTATCAAGATCACAAACCTGGCGTTGTATTGCACGAATGAAATAACCCAGGTAAGACAAAGCGATGAAGGACCCAATCTTCCAGATTTCAACGAAATTCTGGAGACTCTGCTACAACTTAAAGTGCAGACAAGATTTGATAAGTTGATAGATTTTGCCAAAAATATCAAAAGCTTTCACCATGGAGTATAGATACTCAATGGTGAAAGTTGTTGCAGAGTCTCTCTCTCTCTCTCTCTGTGTTGGCATTAGCAAAATGCTCTTGATATTTTTAGTTTTCATCTTTGCTTCTTTTAGGACCCAACTTCAATTTGAAAAGATGTTATTGATCATGAAAACTGCAATGGTATCTAAGTGATAGAAGAAGCCTTGCCTATTCGGGCAGTGTTTTATGAAGGGTATAAAATGACAATTTGTTTCATTTTCTTGTGGCTAAGAATGATGTGGGCCCTTCTTGCATCTTTTAGGTCTCTAGATGATGTTCAACTTGGCAAAGGTTGATCTTATTATTTCCTGAGAATAAAGAGAGGAGAGCAAGAAGTGTGGCACGTAGTAGAAACCCCCTTTATAGGACAAAATACAATGTCAATATTCAAGCACACCATATTGCACTTACCAGGTAGAGAATTAGAATGAATCGTTTTATTTATTGAAAATGTAAAATAAATGAAAAACATTTGGTTAACTGGTAAGCGGGAATATGTGTCCTTAAGCATGAGCAAGCATGCAATCATCCGTAGGAAATAGTTCTTACCTAATTTTCTTTTTCCTTCATTCAGAAAGGAAAAGAAAGCCAAGGGAGGGACGGAATAGGGTATATTTTATTCTTTTGCTTAAAATAATTTCTTCATGCTTAGTCGGATTCACTATTATACTATGTTCAAATCATAGCCGTATCTATGTGAACCTTCAAATTGCCTCGTGCAGAGTTCGTCCGGTGGTGCCAGTTTGCCATAGGATGTTATTATTTGGTAAGAATACAGAGCAAGTAGAACTAGAGAGGCAAGTACCATCCTTTTGTTGGTAGTGTTATCTATGGGTGAGAAAATAAAAGATCCTTTGGTAGGACAAAATTCCCTTTGCCAATAGTAAAGGATAAGATACAGTTCTCCTCTTTTGGGGATCACGGGTCTCTCTCGAGAATTTCTCTTAGATTTGAACCCATAGCTGATGATAGAACTAGAATAGATATTTTTTGTTTCCTACTTACACGAGCCCATACCCTTGCTTTTCTATCAAACTCTAATTATGATCTTCCTAGTTCCTCCCCAACCTGATAGGAAAGAGTTTCTATATTTTTCTCTTTCATTTGAAGATGAAGAAATGAATGGCAATAGATAGGGATGGAGTGGGTTATCTTCTATCCTTAAGTCATAATGGAATATCTTCTACTTCGTATGTTTCCCAAACGGAAGTTTTTGGCACTCCATTTCAGTAAAAAATCAGTTGCGCCATCGTTTATTAGAATTGACAGCCAACTTGTTTGAACAAGTTTATTTGCCAATGGATTCTCACAGGGTAAATGCATAAACACATGTTGTCTATGCTCGCAGAGAAAACAAAGATGGTGTGTACATACACAAAGATTGTATGTACATACCCAGAAGTTTTGGTCTCAAGACATCTACAAGTTACAACAACCACAAGCAATTTACATAAATAAATAAGTAAATATAATAATTTAAAAAATAACAATAACAATAACCGAGAAAAGAAAAAAACTAGAGTCTGTAAGGAAATCAAATACAACAAAAACAGGTAATCTTTAATTCTTGCAAAAATCAAGTAATTAACTATAACAAACTCTTCAAGACGAATAATATTATATAATATAGATATATAAGAGAGAAGAAAAACGTACTCGTAGAGGCATAAGCAAAAATATTCTCAACTGCAACCCAAGCAAAGCAATGAATTTCAACCAAGTCATATAACAAGAATGGTAGAGTATGCTGTGCCATTATACAGATGCAATAATTTCTCGATCCACAGCCGCTGTTAGTTTGAACGGTTCAAAAATTAGAGGGCAATATATATATATATCAAACAAACATACAAAAGTTGAGACAAAGCTAGAAAAGACATAAAAATTGCAGGACCAATATTTTTATATTTGCTGCTGAAATTTCATATGAACAATTATTCTATCATCAAAGATCTAACACCATCAGAACTTGCAAATTGCTTAAAGAGAAGAAAACGCACCCCCTTTTGATGGCAAAAGCTGGACATAGCCATGACTGGTTGGCTCTAGGAGGAGGAAAACCCTAGCAAGTTTCATCCGTAAAAAAGAACAGATCTTTACCAATTAAGAGAGAAATTTACACAAAAAATTGAAAATGATAATAATAATCTAGAGAGAACTTGCAAATTGCTTAAAGAGAAGAAAACACACCCCCTTTTGATGGCAAAAGGGGGACATAGCCATGACTGGTTGGTTCTAGGAGGAGGAAAACCCTAGCAAGTTTCATCTATCAAAAAGAACAGATCTTTACCAATTAAGAGAGAAATTTACACAAAAATTGAAAATAATAATAATAATCTAGAGAGAACTTGCAAGTTGCTTAAAGAGAAGAAAACGCACCCCCTTTTGATAGCAAAAGCTGTACATAGCCATGACTGGTTGGTCCTAGGAGGAGGAAAACCCTAGCAAGTTTCATCCATCAAAAAGAACAGATCTATACCAATTAAGAGAGAAATTTACACAAAAAATTGAAAATAATAATATTAATCTAGAGAGAACTTGCAAATTGCTTAAAGAGAAGAAAACGCACCCCCTTTTGACGGCAAAAGCTGGACATAGCCATGACTGGTTGGTCCTAGGAGGAGGACAACCCTAGCAAGTTTCATCCATCAAAAAGAACAGATCTTCACCAATTAAGAGAGAGAAATTTACACGAACAATTGAAAATAATAATATTAATCTAGAGAGAGAGATTGCAGATAGGTCTTACCTCAAAGGAGAGAGATTGCATATCCAGTCAGTGGAGGAAAAACGGTAGGGTAGGGTAGGGTAGGGTAGGGAGAAACCAGATGGAGGCGGTCAAAAAGATCAATTTTTTTTTTTTTTTCCTTATCATTATCGAAGAGAGAGAAAATAAGAGGGGTTGATGACGTGTGTGAGTCATGAATTTTTCTGTTTTTTTTTTTTTTTTTTGAAAAGTGTGAGTCATGAATTGATTCTGAATGACAGAAATCAAACAACATTTGACAGCCGCACTCTCAAAATGACAAAAACTAAAACCACTGTTAGATCTTGTACTCGGACTGAAACGGCGAAGCTTTTTAAAGTTTGTGTGGTCAAATACGGTAAAACACACATGGTTGTTTTCCATATCAGCTTCCATGTAGAAAGTATAAACCATAGTACATCACCTTCGTTTTTTTTCTTTTATTTGTTATGAAATTTTCAATTAATACTGTAATAATTCAGAATTGTTTGAAAAAGTCTTTTTTATTTTATTTTTTTATTTTATAAAATATGGTGTTTGTCTTATAATATAGCATTACATTATATGTTATGACATTTATATATTATATTATGTCAGGCCAAATTATTATTATTAGATCAAATTGATCATTGTCAATACCCATTTATAATTCAATAAATTATTAATTTTGGATCTAACTATTGTCTCAAATTAAATGTCATTTTTTGAAAATTTAACTTTTTGAGAGCATGGATTTTAATATTTTTTATTATATTGATAGTGAATTAATTACCAAATATGTTTATGGTATATTCACAAGATGTGATGGTTTCTTTTATAAGTTCAATGTAAGAATGTTAAATTAGTAATGTTATAAAATATAGTACTTTGATTTTTTAAATGTGACATTAATTTTGAGACAATCAAAAATAAAAATTTAGACATTTAATTTGAAACAAAGTATTAGATTAATAATTTCCATAGGTAGAAAAGAAGAGAGTTCTAATGACTTCAATATGTTAAAGTTTGATCTTTTGGTACTAGATTAATTCACCTTTGAAAGAGGAAGAGTAGATTGAGAATGGGGAGAATGCTATTTCTACTCTTACAAAAATGGAGAACTAGAGACATGAAAACAAGAAAAAATTAGAACATATTTTAAAGATAATTTGCAAATATCTATTATAAGCCCTTTTTTATTTTACTTTATTTTTGTTTAAACAAACAATCTAATTTTCCCAAGTCCAAGGGTTCATGTGCTCTTAGGTTCTAGAATATCATAGTTTTGTTCTCGACTAGTCATACAAATCTTGTCGAGGGTGACTTTGAGGTTACATGTTTAAAAAAAAAAAAAAAAAAAAAAAAAAAAAAAAAACAACCTTTTCAACCCATAATAAACACAAGGCAATGTAACAAACATAATACCCAAGCCAAATGCGAAATACCCATAACTGAAAATTTCCCTTCAGTGTGCAAACTTCTAAGATTAACAAATATAAAGCAGAGATAGTAAACAATAAATAAAATCATTCACATGATGAACACCAGGATATACGTGGAAAACCCCTCAAATTGAAGGGTGAAAAACCACATGCCAACTTCGAGAAATACTTCCACAATGAAAATAATGGAGTTACAACTATTCTTCTCTAACTTAACTAGCAAATCATATATTCTTCGAGGGAAATCAAAACCCTCAAATAACAACAACAACAACAAAATGAAACGTCACCCAAAATAAGGGTGAATATTAACGATAGAGATATGTGATCTCACCGGTGTAGAGTGTAAGCATAGATTAACGAAGAGGATGATCGTCTCAACTCTAGCAACTTCCCCCTAAACCTACACCTTGACCGGAGTTTGATTGGCCACTGACCTCAAATAGCTGATGTGTCATATGTTCTCCTTTTATGAACTTATAAATCTCCTGCAGAATGTTGATTTGTCTATTTTGCCCCTGTGAATGGAAATTAGGTCAAAGTGGCCCTAGACCAGAACATAGCCAATATTATAATGGTTTCTAGGGTGTTTGGACCATCTAAGTCCAATATTGATGTCCGTTTGTCCTTTTTTCCTTTATGAGGAAAAGTCAAACCTTAGAATTGACTGTTTAATCCCTACTGTAAAAACTTGGTCAGATATGGAGTCGAGCTAGAAGGTAGGCAATATTTAAAGTGCTTTTTTAAGGTTTTTGGATCTTTTGAGCACAATGGTAAGGTTCATGTGTGACTTTGACCATCGGTGTGAAAAGTCAAACTTGAAGTTGACTGTTCGGGCCCCACCAAGGGTTTTGGTCTAAGTAGGTGATAGAAAAGGGTATAGACCTCAAAGAGAAATGTACCACACGGTTTTGGGTTGCTCTGGACTCAATTGTGAAGTTTGTTTGTCTATTTGACAATCGGGAGGTTGTAGTGTAAAATGCTCATTTTGCCCTTTCTACGAAATTGGTGATCGGGTTCAGGGTAGGGTGTAATGTGGTCGATCGAAGTGTTTTGTGGGGTTATATGATGTTGTAAGTGTGATGGTGAAGTCCTATATCCAATCGGACGGTCCGGTTGTCTCTTTTCAATTTTCTGTCGTATGTAGGCCCTATTGGATAAATGGTCTCAGGAGATGGAGACGTCGTTCCTTCTCGGGGTTTGGAAGGTTGGTGTATTGAAAGGGGAGGGAAAAAAAATGAGGTATCTATAATAAGGAACTCTTTCCATTTATTCTCTCTTTCAGTAAAAGGACTCTGTTTAGAAGAAAGTTTGTACTGGTTAGCAAGATGAGTTCCAACTGATTTTGCTTTGTCAATGTTGAACCTTCCAAACACTTTTTCAACATATTTTTTCTTGTGATAGCCACAACCTCTTAACCTTCTTATCACGGGTAATCTTCAAGCCAATAATCTGTTTTGCTTGTCCCAAGTCTTTCATTGCAAAAGACTCGTTCAACTCTTTCTTCAACTTGTTGATTTTATTCATGTTCTGACTAACAATGAGCATGTCATTTACATAGAGTATGAGAATAATAAAATCATTATCTGCAATTTTTTGACAAAAACACAATAATCTGAAGTTGTTGTTAGAGTTGCACTACACAATCAACCGAATTTGATTCCAGTTGTTGTGGCGGAAAAGCAAAATAACAACGCACGTTGTTCGAGGAATAATCCAGCAATCACAAAGAAAAAAATTCACCCACAAAACACACAAGATATACATGGTTCACCCAAAACTTAGGGCTACGTCCATGTAGCACACCGAACAAATTCACTATGAAAAAGATGAAGAATTATAAGGAGAATTCTCTCTCAATCTCTCTCAATTGCTCTATTTTATATTGGTATACATTTATCTCTAACTTTTACCCCTATTTATAGAGTCCCAAACTTGTCCTACAAGAACTTGCCTTTTGTAAAATCCAAAACCAATAAGGAAATTAAATCAAATCAAATCAGGAAACTGAATTTTCCTTAAACCAATAAGGAAGTCAAATCAGATTAGGAAACTGAATTTTCCCTAACAGATTAGGAAACTGAATTTTCCCTAAAATTCAGTACTCTTAAAGTTTCCATATAATTAAATCTTCCTAAAAAATTTTCACTTAATCAGACTCCACAAAACCACAACAATCTCCCACTTGGAGGCCGGAGCACTTGTAAACCCATTCCATCTTCTTCTCATGCATGTCCTATGCATGTCGGTGCGCTTCACTCTATCTTCAAGCTAGAAGACCGACTGAAGTTGCGCACAACTTCAGTTTCTCTATGGTCACTGTCTTGGCCAACATGTCAGTCGGATTCTTGGTGCCAAGTATTTTCTCAAGTGTCAACACCTCATCTTCTAACAAAGATCTGATAAAGTGATACCGAAATCCTATATGCTTGGTCCTTGAATGAAATGTTGAATTCTTTGCCAGATGTATCGCACTCTGACTATCACTGTGCAAAACATTCTTCACCTGTTTGAATCCCGACTCTGTTAACAAACCTTGTAACCAAATCATCTCCTTGCTAGCCTCTGTCATCGCCATATACTCTGCCTCTGTAGTAGATAACGCTACAATCTTCTGTATTTGCGAAACCCAACTAACTGCAATTGTACCCACCATGAACACATACCCGGTAGTACTTCTTCTGTGGTCCACCTCGCCAACAAAGTCTGAATCTACATAGCTACGTAGCTTCACTTCGCCCCTTTTGAAACATAGGCATCTATCTGTGGTACCCCGTAGATATCTCAATATCCACTTTACTGCTTCCCAGTGTAGCTTGCCCGGATCCTTCATGAACCTGCTTACTGCTCCCATTGCATATGCAATGTCTGGTCTTATGCACACCATGGCATACATCAAACTTCCAATGGCTGAGGCATATAGAATTTTAGCCATGAAAATTTTCTCATCCTCTGTCTTCGGACACTGATCTTGAGATAATCGGAAGTGATTAGCTAAGGGAGTACTCACGCCTTAGCATTATTCATGTTGAACCTCTTCAGAACCCGTTCAACGTACTCAGCCTGAGACAACTGTAAAGTACCTTTCTGTTTGTCTCTGCTAATCCTCATCCCAAGAATCTGCTTCGCTGCACCAAGATCTTTCATCTCGAATTCACTAGACAACTGCTTCTTCAATTTGTTGATTTCTTCAAAATTAGAACTTGCCACTAACATGTCATCAACATAAAAAGGATAATGAAACTTGACTTGAACCTCTTGAAGTAGCAGCAATGGTCAGCATTGTACTTGTTGTAGCCATGTCGCTTCATAAAACCATCAAACTTCTTGTACCATTGCCTCGGGGCTTGCTTCAAACCATATAAGCTTTTCTTCAACTTGCACACTAGTTTCTCTTTCCCTTTGACTGAGAAACCCTCTGGTTGTTGCATGTAAATCTCCTCCTCAAGGTCACTATGGAGGAAAGCAGTTTTGATATCTAATTGCTCAAGGTACAACCCCTCTGCTGCAACAATGCTAAGAACTGAGTGAATGGTATGAGGCCTTTTGGGGTGAAGCCCAAGAGCAAAACCGTGC